GTAACAGCATGGCTTTACTCGATTTAAATCGCAAGGACGATATGTCTACTTTTTTGGAAAGATATATGAATCTCATATGTGTATATTAGCGCCGGCGCTTATAAAAATCCTCGATTGAAAGCGCACCCCCTAAAAAAACGTGTTATTTTATAAACCCAGGGAAATGCATATCCGGGGGCTGACAGTACAAATGGTAGGCTATATCAATGTTAGGTTAGGTATTTTTACCCATGTTTGCCATTCAGTTCTGACAACATGGACATTTAACCCTTGTGTGTATTAACTATACAGTAGTGATTTGATAACCTAGCCATGACCTAAAGCAAAAATGCAACAAAGCAGGAGTACCCCTTCAATAAAGTCATTTGGTTAAAATGGTACTGATACTAGCCACCTCAGCTACTTCATGCTAATCCTCCAAAACCTCCAATTCCATCTCCATCCCCCTCCCTCACCTCCCCATCAATGCCTATCTTTTCCTTTTCATCTCCATCTCATTTCACATCCTTTCCCGTTTCCCCAATAGCCGGCCCTTCACTTTACTACCCTCAATTTCGCTCCTCTCCTCCCTCTCCCATCCACACTTCCCCTTCCTCTTCCTTCTCCAAGCCACCCACTGCACTCTCCCTCGTCCAGGTTCGCTGTACCATACATCACCACCCTCTGTCTTGCCACCCGTTCAAGGCACATCTGCCTTGCCAAGCCGCAGCAGCGCACTTCTTTAAAATCGCTGCCCGTGTGAAGCAGAAAACTTAGGAAATTTGCCTGGGTTTTGCTCTGAAATCTGGGACGGGTGCCAGCTCAGCGAGGGCATCTGACAGCATGGCATTGTGAAGTCGGCTGCAAGAGATTGGGGGAGAGGGAGGGCGGTGAAGGCTTCAGTGGTGCAAACGTTTGGCTAGAAAGTACAAGTGCTACTCAGGTTGACATGACACACTTTATAACGCGGTTCGAAACTCGTTCCGCCACCAACAGTGCAATTGCAGTGAATCACCCCCCGAAAAAACAATCCGATACCAAGACAGCATATAAAACATACCCTTTAATCTCTAACCAAGCCCCCACCCTTTAACCACCTCACCATTTCCTCTTCCATTCCCTTGCCGTTCCCCTCTCACCTCACAGTTGTGCCTTCCTCTTGCTCCTCAACGCCATCTCACTCCACCTCCTCCCCCCCTTCCCCACTCCCCTGCCCTTCACTCTCCTCGCCTTCGCTTCCCTCTCCCTCCTCCTCTTCACTCCCCTCTCCTTCGCTTCCCTCTCCCTCCTCCCCTTCACTCCCCTCTCCTTCGCTTCCCTCTCCCTCCTCCCCTTCACTCCCCTCTCCTTCGCTTCCCTCTCCCTCCTCCCCTTCACTCCCCTCCTCCCCTATCTCCTCTCCCCCCTCATTCTCTGCACCCGCCGTACGTTCTCCCTCGTCCAGGTTCGCTGTACCGTAAATCACCCCCCTCCGACATGCCGATAGCAGCGGGCACCCACTGATAACACATGCCTGCAGCTTCTCCATCTGCCGCAGACCCGTGGGTAATCGAGCCAGCCGCTTGCACCCGTGCAGGTGCAAGTCCTCCAGCCCGGACAGCTGCGAGAAATTCTCGGGCAGGCTGCGAAGATTAGGCAGTAGGTTCAGAGTGAGATCCTCCAGAGAAGAGAGCTTCCAGAAGTCATTCGAAAGACATGACAGCCCGATTCTCGAGAAAAAACACAGCTCCAGTCTACACAGTTGAGGGAAGGACTCGGGAAGCCTGGTTAGGCCCGGGATCTCATAAATCTCCAGAAACTGAAGCTTTTTAAGCTGCCCGAACGACTCGGGCAGCTCAGTCAGGCTTAGGAGCTCGTCGAGCTGGAGGGTTGTGAGCGCTGACAGCCTCCCCAGTGTTTCTGGAAGAGCCAGCAGGCTTTCGGCAGGGCCAAGTGAGAGCGTTTGCAGGCGTGAGAGGCGAGAGATAGAATCTGGGAGCGAGCGGAGGCGATGCATTTGCAGGATTTCCAGCTTTGTGAGCGACGGGAAGGAGCCCAGCGATGGACCGAGCAGCTGCAGTGGAAGGGCCGCAAGTTTAAGGACCTGAAGAGATGGCAGCAGCACACTTGTGTGACTCTCCTCGGATCCCCCACAGCTGGAACGATTATACTCGGTCAGACTGGGGAGGGTGCTTCTCCCCACAAGGACATGCCCAGCGGCTCCTGTGTCTTCATCCCCAAATAGCGACTCCAGAGCCCTGCAGTAACTCACTTCTAGAAGTCTTAACTGCTGCAGCTGACACAGCGAGCGAGGGAGCGACTTCAGGTCAAGATTTGAGAGCCTGAGCTTCTGGAGCACTTCCAACCGTCCGATCTCCTTTGGTAGCGCCGTGATTCGCTGGCAGCTGAGCAGCACGAGGCTGGTGAGATTGCGGGCGATGGCAGGGAAGGGGGCAGGCAGGGCGGGCAGGTGCGGCAGGGAGGAGAGAGAGAGCTTTTCAAGGCTTTTCCAGCGAGTCAAGTCGATTGGTAGGGTGCCGCGTAAGCTGTCTGCATCGCGGATTTTTAAAGTTTCGAGGGAGGAGAGGTTGGAGAAGGAGGGAGGAAGGCGGGTGAGAGCCGTGCATCGGAGCAGAATCAGTTTGCGCAGGCTACGCAGACCATCCCCCATGCGCTGCGGTAGCGCCGTCAGCTTGCTGCAGTCACTCATTTCCAGCAGCTCAAGGGAAGATAGCCGACTCAGGGAGGCTGGAAGCTGTGTCAGCGCGGTACATTCGGATATTTTCAGCTCCTTGAGGCTCTTCAAGTCGCCAAGCGATGCGGGCAGGCTGCTGAGCTGCGGAAGCTTGATCAGGAGCAGGGACTCCAAGGCTGTCAGCTGCCCGAGATTCCCGGGCAGGTGTAGTGGAACTTGAATATTCTCGAGCGTGAGGTGTTTGAGTGCCGTGGCAAGGGCGATGGAGGAAGGCAGGTGCGGGAGAATGCCAAAGTCCAGCTTGAGCGTCTGTAGGCGTGGCAGTTGAACCACGTCGTCAGGCAGATGCAGGAGTGCCGTACCGACGAGAATAAGGTCCGTTAGGTAAGGCAGATGGAGGGAGGTAGGAAAAGACATAGATTCGTCGCGGTTGATTACAGAGAGGAGGCGCAACCGTTGCAGCTGCCCGATACTCGCGGGGAGGTTGATAATCCCCCCCACCTCCTCCAGACGTAGGGTTTCTAGCGCCGGCAGGTTTCCAAAACTCTCGGGCAGAGGTGAAAGGTCTTGGCAGTAGGAAATTTCGAGGGTCAGCAGGGAAGAAAGGTTGGAGATGGATTCGGGCAGTTGAAGCCTTGTCCTGCAGCCGCTGATAGAAAAATGCGTCAGGTTGGTAAGCTGCCCGAAAGAATCAGGAATGGAACTGAGGCGCATGCAGTTGTTTAGCTGGAGTGAGTTGAGCAGTTTCAGATGGCCGAAGTTCTGAGGCAGCTCATCCAGGCAGTGCATTTCAATCACAAGATGGGCGAGATACTGTAACGAGGTAAACGCGTCTGGGAGGCGAGCGATTCTCCCCCTGTCGGTGATGTTCAGACTTTTGAGTGACGCAAGGCCGCTGATTGACGAAGGAATGGCGGTCAGATTCGACTGACAATCAAGATGAAGACCCTCCAGCCGTGTGCATTTCTCCAAGAGATACGAAAGTCCGTTCTCAGTGAATCCCCCCTGTCTGAACTGTCGATCCATCCAATCGACGTGGAGGTCCGTCAGATCTGGACACGTGTCGGCAATCCGCGAGACGAGGGAGTCCGGGATAGATGTGATGCTGCCGAAAGCGAGGACGAGCTTTCGGAGCCTTCGGAATGATGAGAGGTGCGCGAGCAGCTCGCGAGGACGCATGCGACGCTTTTCGCGAATCTGAATATGGTCGTGCACGCGACGGGCGATGCGATGCCATTCCTTGCACACAAGCGCGTGCTGGAACTGACCGTCGGATCTACCGACGAGATGGAGGATTATGGAAAGAAGTTCGTCCGACAGCAGTTCAAACGGTGACGCAGCAGCCATTCTGGCTAGTTGATAAGACGCCATGGGGACTAACAAGAAGGCTCTAAGACCAAGAAAAAAGCAGTGAAAATCCTCACACTAAGTCTTGACAATAGGAAGGAACCGTAAGCTTCAGGCGTGGAGGGAAACTTGCAGAAATGCAATGGAGCTTGTGCGAGAGAGTTGTGACAATCCCTAGGCTGGATGCAACGCATTGCAATGGGCTTGTCGCCTCGCTTTGAAGATCTACCGGCAGGCGGGCGGGAAAACATGTGTCCGTTATCCAAACTTCAGAATTGGTGAGGCGAGGTGATGCGCGCTTCAGGCTTCTGTACATTTTATACAGCATTTGGGTGGATCCGTTGCAAGTACAGCATTCCCATTTCAAATTACAAAATTTGCAGTATGCAGCGCGTTGGGACTTGACCGCCGTTTATGTACCTCAATGCAATCAACCAAACAGAAATGTCGCCGTTTGACGAGAACAGCAATGGCATCGGCACCCGCTCTTAGGATATACAGCGCACCATGCGGCGCGCGCAGTGACACACCTCGCGGTTTAGTCAAAACGCCACACTCACACAGCCATGGTGCTGCAACGAGCCGTGCTGCGATTTTCAGCAGCACTGGCTGCAAACGCGGCATTTGCGGCCGGCCCGTTGCACGCGTCCACGTCAGCCTTTCCTGCTTCTGCGGAACCTTCCAGTCGCGCTCCCGGAAGTTGCGGTCTGTCGATTGCAGCCAGAGTAGGATAGGTCAGGGAACGGTTGCCCGTGCTGCTCACAGCACACTTAACGGTAATAAGGACATACGCGCTTTAGACTCTCGCATTAGCAGCGCATGCTGCTTCCCAATAAAGCACGAGGGTCCACGCCGTCCAGTCCTGCGTTGCCAAGCCGGAACGGGAGGTTTGGGTGTTGCCGAGGCAGTGCCGGACGAGCCGGCTAGGTCCAGCAAGTACGAGGCTTGGAACGCGACGACGGAGCGGCTGACGGCGCTGTCGACTGTAGCGGGACTGTTTATGATGGTGCCGCAGGTGACTCGTGGTTGGGGGAAAGAGAAGTGCGGAGTGAGAGGAGGACGCGAATGATATGAGCAAGGGTGATTACGGGGACAGGGGAGTGGAAGGGGGGAAAGGGAAGTGAGACGGGGGAAAAGGGGAGGAGCGGCTGACGGCGCTGTCGACTGTGGCGGGGATGTTGCCGCCGCAGGTGATGATGTGCTGAGGGGAGGGGGGGGCGATGAATGAGATCGGGGTAATTGGAGATGAGAGGAAGGGTAATGCAAGAGGGCGAAGTGAAGGGGAAGTGTCAAGAAAATGTAAGAGAAGGAGTGTAAGTGAAGGTGCGTCCAGGGATTGGGACAAAGGAGGGGGAATGGTAGGGGAGTGACAGGAGGACCGGGGGGCGGAGGAGAGGGGGGAATGCGCAATGTGGTGTGTGCAGTACGAGCAGCACTGCCCCTCCGTGCTCCTTGTGTTCCCCTGCTCCCTCCCATCTTAACCCCGCAAGCCTCTTACCCCCACCCCTCCACCTCTGCCTCTCCAGTGTCTCCATCATTTGTCTCATCCTCCCTTTCCTCCACTCTGTCACTCCGTCATTCTCCCTCTCGCCTCTCACGTGTATGCCAGGGGACAGCGCAAAACATCCCTCCTCTCCTCTCTGCTCTGCATCCCCCTACTCTCCCCCTCAACCCCCAACCCTCTCTCCCCGCCCCTCCCCCTTTTTTAGATACTCAAGAGCTCCTCTCTCCTGCGTGTCAACCAGGGAACGGCACTGCACATCCCTTCGCCTGACTCCTCCTGCCCCTCTTCCTCCACCACCCCTGCCCTTCGCCCCTCCGCGCCTGCAGATCCTAAAGAACGCCGCTCTGCTGCGTGCCAACCAGGGCGCAGCGTTGGGAATCCTGTCGTGGCTGGGCTTCGCCACGGGCTTCCTGGGCAACATGCTGCTGCTCTCCTACTTCACCGCTAAGCGGGAGCTCTCTGCATGCCTCGTGCAGGTAGTGCCTCGTGCAGGTAGTGCCTCGTGCAGGTAGTGCCTCGTGCAGGTAGTGCCTCGTGCAGGTAGTGCCTCGTGCAGGTAGTGCCTCGTGCAGGTAGTGCCTCGTGCAGGTAGTGCCTCGTGCAGGTAATGCCTCGTGCAGGTAATGCCTCGTGCAGGTAGTGCCTCGTGCAGGTAGTGCCTCGTGCATTACCTTGCTAGGTGCTACCTGCTTCACCATTTACCAAAGTATTCCCGAGGCTCGTCTCATCTGTTCGCCCCGCAGCTGCTGCTCATCGTCCTGCTCTGCTCTCTCTCTTTTCCCTTCTCCATGCTGGCTCGTGCTGCTCTTGCCTCTTCCTCTTCCTCTCCCTTAACTCTCTGCCTTGCCTCTTCCTCTTCGTCCTGACTGGCGTTGCTTGCTGCTCGCGGGGTTCATGCCGCCACCAGCCTTCACAACAGGGGCGGTCTATCTGCTGCTCAGCTGCTCCTTCACCGCCTTTTCCCTGCCCCCATCTCTTACGTCCCTCGCCTGTCTACTCCCTCTTTCAGGTAGTAGGAGCGGCGTCCACAGCCGTCCTCCTCTCGCAGGTCTACCTCGCGGGGTTCATGCCCCCCCCAGCCTTCACCGCAGTGGCCGCCTATCTGCTGCTCGGCTGCGCTGTCAACTGCCTGCGCTTCACCCGCCGCCTGCCCCAGCCCCTGTGGGACACGTGGCAGGACGTGATTGGCGTTCTGGGCCTCGCTGTGCTGCCACAGGTGGGGTAGCAGGCTCTGCAGCTGCCGTCCGCTGTCTGCCATTTCTTGCCGCATGTCCTTTCCACCCCTACCTACTCCATTCCACTCCCACCCACTCACCCTTGTCCACTCCGACTCACTCACTCCTGTCCACTCGTAACCTCTCGCTCACCGGTCGTATTCTTCTCTCCTTTTCAATCACTGTGCATCAACAGGCCTTTCCCCATCCACTTCCCAGCCCTTCTCCTCAACCTCCCCCAACCCAGCCCCCCTCCATCCACCTAATGCCCTCACCATCCTCTGCTATTCTCCATGCCCCTGCTTCCCTGCCTCCTCCCCTCCCCCTTCCCTCCCCCTCACCTCTTTTTCATTTCAACCTCACCTCCCCTTTGCATCCCCTCCCCCCTCCACTCCCCTTTCCTCACCTCCCGCCCGCTCCCCTCCAATTTTCTGCCTTCCCCCCTCATCCCCTTCCCTGCGCTCCTCCCCTCGCCTTCCCTTGCCTTCCCCTTCCCGCCCCCCGCTTCTGCTTCCCCCACTGCTGCTCCCCCCACTGCTGCTCCCCCCACTGCTGCTCCCCCCACTGCTGCTCCCCCCACCGCCGCTTCCACCACTGCTGCTCCCCCCAACGCTGCTCCCCCTGCAGGTCATCTGGTCCACATTCTCCTCTGTCAGCACGAAGCTTCCAGGAACCGTCTCGGCGGTGGGCGGGTTACTGTTCATAGCGGCCATGCGGAGGGGGCTGGTGGGGCAGCGGTGGCGGGACAGGTGGCAGCTGCTGAGTGGCTGGACCGCCACGCTGCTCTTCATGGTCATGCCCGTCGCCCAGCTGCAGGTGAGATGCTTTGCACTGCACCGCACCGCACCGCACTGTGCCATGCATTGATACATGCATGAAGTGTTGCATCCGCACTCTGATGCCATATCTCTCCGTCTGTCCTGCCTCTCTTCCTCTTCTGCCTCCCTTCCTGCCCTGCCTGCTTTTGCTGTTCTGCCTGCCTCCCTATCGTCCATCTCTCACCCAGTCTCTCCTCTTCCGGTCCCCTCATCATCTCTCAACCTCCTCTAGCATCTGTCCTCCCGCCGTCTCTTCTATCCTCTTATTCCATCTCATTTTATCTCTGCATCTTCCCTCCCTGCATCTCCCCTTGCTCTCTCATCGTCCCTCGCTCTGTATCTGACCGCACTCAGTCTTCCTGACCCCTCCACCTCTCGAACCCTCCTCTCCCCTCCCCCATCACCCCAGGTATGCTTCACGCGGCCCGACCAGCTAGCGGGCATGTCAGCGCTCTCCTCGCTGCTGGGCATAGTGGGCAACGGCCTCATGGTGCCGCGGGCGCTCTTCACACGCGACTTGATCTGGTGAGAGCCCGTCGCTCTTCACTCACAAGCCCTGCTGCCGCCCATGCTGCCGCTCCTGCCGCCACTTGCTCTCACTTCAAAGTCATACCATAGTGGGCAACGACCTCATGGCGCCGCGGGCACTCTTCATGCGCGACTGTATTTGGTGAGATCCCGTTGTTTTTCACTCACAAGTCGTGCTACCCCTCATTCTGCCACTCATTCTTCCCCTCATGCTGCCCCGCATTATGCCCCTCCTTTTGCCCCTCATCCTGCCTGACCTCCACTCTCCTGCTTCACCCTGCCACATATTCTCCCCAAGCGATCTCCGTCACACCACTACCGCTGCCTGTCACACTCCAGGGCCGTACGCGAGCCGGCATAACCAATCTCCCATGCCCTAGGATGTGTTGCCTTAATCAATTCCCACCTCCCCACCCTCCCTCAACAGTCACACCTTTCTTGTATGTCCACATGCATTTTATCCCCATCTTGCTTGTTGGGTGCAAGCAAGCCGCCATTCGCCCACCTCCTCATCAAAGCCCCTTGGGATTTGCGGGGTCAAAGTCCCCCGCTCTTCCCATGTCCTCCGCACTCAAGCCTTTCTTATATTGCTCGCCTTCGTCCTAATCCCATCACGCGTGTGGCACGTTCCGTTCCGCTATATGTGGGCCGCCATTCTCAATGTCTCCTGCCACCGGCTGGATGTGCTGCCTTCATCAATGCCCACCTCTGCATTCCCTCAATCATTCAAGTGTATGGCACATGCTTGCTTGTGTCATGCCCCTGGAGCTACAAATGAGCCTCCGTTCTCAATGTCTCTGCCACCGGATGTGCTGCCTTCAACATTCCTTTTTCAACTCCCTTCCTAAACCCTTTTCCTTTCTCCCCTTCCGTGGCACACAAACTCTCCGGGTGAGAATAATTTCCCACATGTTGCCCATCACCTCTCCTGTTTCATCCCACCCATTCCTGTAATGCTTGTGTCAGGTTTCTGGGTTGTTCCTGGGGCTGCATTCTCATGGGCTGGGGTGTTCTCCTCGCCATGGCCCTCCACGGCTTCTACCCGCCTCGCCTCTTCATGGCTGTCTCACTTGCGCTTATCGGCTATCTTGCTGCTGTCTTTAAGTTTGATGCCGATGCACATGTCTGCACTCCTTTGCTTGGCTCTATCTCTGGATTGCTAAAGGGTGCAGCTTGAGTTTTCTTGCGGAAGGGAATAGTTGATACTGCTACGATAATGTAAATGATCCTGTTTTGGGGGATGTAGAGTTGCTTTAGCACTACGTTGAGGCATTTCGGAAGTGTAATGTACAGCTAGTGGCATGTTAGGGGTAACCAGACTGTCGCCAAGGTTTCGCGATTCCTCGAGAGCTTTCCAGGTTCGTCTTGCATGCTGCTGGAACAACCCAGCATCCCCCAGCGAGCTTCACCATCAGGTCGGAAAACAGGAGAAATTTGTTTCTAGTGGATTCTAGGCCGAGAGCTCTGGTCTAGGAGCAGCCATTCTTTCCTTCCAAGCCGCGTGCGCTTCGCAAATGTCTTCCATTCCGCGCTACGAGATGCGTTCTCACTGCAATATTTATGTCTGCTCTTTTGGCTCTCAGAAACGCCACGTGAAACCTGCTATAGCTTCCCAGCCCACCAACAACATTCCTGGATCTTAGAGGTTATTGCCGCCAGTAGCACATTACCACAGCATCGCGATCATCGCCTCATTCGCCAGTTCATTCAGGCAGACGTGGCGCTGGCGCTGCTTTCCAACCCGTTTGCAAATTCAATCCCTTCGTTAAGCGACTTCGACGACATGACCTCCATGCTAAATCATTTTCCAAGTAATCTCCTTGGCGACACTCAGTCACTCCTCAGTCACTCGCTCTACAACAATCCCCTTCGCAATCTCACTTTCATCGGCGGTAACCCAGTAAACCAAGCTCTTCGCGAGCTCGACAACGACTCGCTCGGCGTTCCCGAGGTTGTCGTTAAAGAGTATCCAGACGCGATCAAAATCGTCGCGACCGTTCCGGGCCTCGAGAAGAAGGACCTGCAGGTGCAGGTGCGGGGGAAGGATGTTGTGACGATCAGCGGCAAGCGGACCAGAGAGGAGAGGGACAACGACGACAGCAACCGCGTTGTCAAGGAGTTCAGCAGCTTCGAGCGCAGCTTCCGGCTGCCACGTGACGTGTCTACGAAACAGGTTACAGCAGCAGCGCGGAACGGCGTGCTCACGGTGACGGTTCCCAAAAGAACGTCTTGCAAACAAACGTCTGGTCGCAGGCTCGCGAATCCAAACGCGAAGGGGAAAGCGAAGGATGTTCAGAAGCAAGGCGGGCTGAGCGGCGAGCAACGAGTTAGCAAGAAGAGGAAAGTTGTTCACTTTGCCCCTGGGAGCTGAACTCACCTTTCTAGGGTGCAAGGGTCCTGTCAACGTGATGGCCCCCCACAAATTCCACATAGTACCTATTCTGTAATCACGTGTAATTACTGGTATGTTTTTTTGCTACACCATGTAAATATCTATATAGAGGAGATAATTCCGCTTCCATCTTCATGCGTGGCAAAGACTACTAGGTATATATCCAATGCATGCAATGAAACGTAACCATTCTCTTGCATTATATCTTCAACTTTGGTGGTGCTGATGCGATAGAATATGACAGGAACATGAAAGATACAGAGCTTGAGCAGATTGATAGGGAGTCAGACACTGTAAAGGGGATATGAAAGAATTGGAGGCTGGTGGCCTTGGCGCCTCTGAAATTGTGTCATCTCAGGAGTGGTGTGTCACGATGCGGTGAGGTTGAGATGGGTCATGTCATGACTCATGAGTGGTGGGTGAAGATGCAGGGATGTTGTCATTTTAAGAGTGGTGTGTGAAGATGCGCAGGTGGTTGTCAGCTCCCCCACTGACTACAGCGTTGCCGCCCTGCCACCAGTCCGCACACAGCACCTGCCCACCCCAGAGGTGCATTCAATACATTGTATCAGGACAAGGCATGAGGAGTAAGGACATGCGTGCATGGGGCAGTGACATGTGTGTATGACACAAGGCACGTTCGTGTGCTATCTGGGTGCAGTAAGGCACATGTGCGTGAAAAGGCCATGCATGCAGTAAAAGCCATCCACAGCGCATGAAGGTATCACGTCCATGACCCATGAACGGATGGATTTGATGCGTCAAGTGATCAATGGTCACTCGATCCATGCAAGGTTCGGGATGGCAATTTTTTTTTTTTTTTTTTTTTTTTTTTTTCTTGTAATGCTACAAAATTACTCTGTGTGTGCATGTTGCGAAATGGCAGATGGAGCTGCTGGAAGGGCGTTGCCAGTGTCCTTGGCCAGCACGTATATATTGGCACTCAATGTGTTGATGACATGATAACATGATGACGTGGCATGCACAGACGAGCGAAAGGCATGAAGACATTAGCGCATGCAGGCATGCAGGCATGACGGCATTAGCTCATGCAGGCATGCAGGCATGAAGGCGTGAAGGCGTGAAGGCATGAGGGCATGAAGGCATGGAAACAAAGCAGACATAAAATGATGGCATGAAGGCTTTGGCCTTACCTTATCCGAGTGAGCTTTGACCGTGTGAAGCGGCACCTGCACGTTAGAAAGAGAGGCACGGGGGTGCGAGACATGCTGAGTTAGAAGCAGGACGGCAGCATGTGGGGGCCCATGGCTGCACTCACACGAACCTGTGCACTTGCACTTTGAAACACACATAACTGGCACGAAATGGTTCGGACTGGGAGAGAATACGGCAAGCCATGCACATGACTGAGTTGTGGATTTGTACAGCGCCTTGGAAGCGCTGTACGAGGTTTTTGAAAGTTATTAATAAGCTTTCAAGTTGCGTCTCACAATACGAGACTGGTAACATGCACCCCTTGGGCTGCATGCATGTACAGAACAGAGAGTACACACACATGCAGCCCAAGGGGTGAAGCAACTTCATGGGGAGCATGGGGGAGGGGGGACGAGGGGACAGGGGAGTGGTGGCATACAGTGGAGCGCAGATCCCAGATCTTGAGCGAACCATCGTAGGAACGGAGCCGGGGGAACGTGGGGGTTGGGGGCCAGGAGAACGTGGGGATGAGGGGCTAGGGGAACGTGGGGATGAGGGGCTAGGGGAACGTGGGGATGAGGGGCTAGGGGAACGTGGGGATGAGGGGCTAGGGGAACGTGGGGATGAGGGGCTAGGGGAACGTGGGGATGAGGGGCTAGGGGAACGTGGGGCAGGGCACTCACAGTGGAGCGAAGATCCCAAATCTTGAGCGAGCCATCGTAGGAAGAGGAGAGGAGATGCAGTGGGTTCGATGGGGACCTGTAGAGGCGGCAGAGTGATACGGGATGATCATGGAAAACAAGTAGGAAACAGGTGAGGCCAGCATGGGAAACAAGTAGGAAACAGGTGAGGCTAGCATGGGAAACAAGTAGGAAACAGGTGAGGCTAGCATGGGAAACAAGTAGGAAACAGGTGAGGCTAGCATGGGAAACAAGTAGGAAACAGGTGAGGCTAGCATGGGAAACAAGTAGGAAACAGGTGAGGCTAGCATGGGAAACAAGTAGGAAACAGGTGAGGCTAGCATGGGAAACAAGTAGGAAACAGGTGAGGCTAGCATGGGAAACAAGTAGGAAACAGGTGAGGCTAGCATGGGAAACAAGTAGGAAACAGGTGAGGCTAGCATGGGAAACAAGTAGGAAACAGGTGAGGCTAGCATGGGAAACAAGTAGGAAACAGGTGAGGCTAGCATGGGAAACAAGTAGGAAACAGGTGAGGCTAGCATGGGAAACGAAGAGAACAAAACCAGTGTAAGTATAACAACCCATGAGTTGTTATACTTATGGCTTATTGAGTTGAATGGGTTGTTATAGCGTATTGAAACCATAACAAACCATTCACAACCATTTGTGGAATTGGATAGCAGTCAACTGCCATGTCAACTGCCATGTCAGCAACCTAAGACATTCTCTAGCAAGGAAGCACTTCACCTACGTTGCTGCTCGCTAACATAGATAGATGGTTCCGCCAAACTCCGTTTCCAGGAAAAGACGAACGAACCAGCAGCAGCAATAGTGAACGATGCCTAAATAAAGAAGAATGTATGCACATGGTAGTATTGCACACACACTACGAGTGCTCTTGGCCCCACGTTACCATTCAGGGGAGGAGATCCAATCCAAACCACACGTTACCATGCGAGGGAGGAGATCCAATCCTAACCACACGTTACCATGCGAGGGATGAGATCCAATCCGTGTGACCCAGCAGCTGGATCGATGGAGAAAGCACGGCTGGAGAGGGAGTTTGAAAAGGGAGGAGCGAGGTGGGAGGTGGGAGGTGGGAGGAGGGGAGAGTGGCTCTGGGAAGTGTCACTTGCACTCACAAGGGGAAGGGGGAAGGGGAGGGTATGATGGAGAATATGGTGCAGACGAGGAAGGGGTATGTGCTTGCAAGATGGAAACACAAGGGTGGAATGACACCCACACTTCACCCTTGTCCAAACCTCACACCCTTGTCCAAACCTCACACCCTTGTCCAAACCTCACACCCTTGTCCAAACCTCACACCCTTGTCCAAACCTCACACCCTTGTCCAAACCTCACACCCTTGTCCAAACCTCACACCCTTGTCCAAACCTCACACCCTTGTCCAAACCTCACACCCTTGTCCAACCCTCACACCCTTGTCCAAACCTCACACCCTTGTCCAAACCTCACACCCTTGTCCAACCCTCACACCCTTGTCCAAACCTCACACCCTTGTCCAAACCTCACACCCTTGTCCAACCCTCACACCCTTGTCCAAACCTCACACCCTTGTCCAAACCTCACACCCTTGTCCAAACCTCACACCCTTGTCCAAACCTCACACCCTTTTCCAAGCCTCACACCCTTGCCCAACCCTCATGGCCTTGCCCCACACTCACATGCTGCAGAGCGCATGTCCCAGACCAGGATGGTGGGGTGAGCAGAGCGCATGTCCCAGACCAGGATGGTGGGGTGAGCAGAGCGCATGTTCCAGACCAGGATGGTGGGGTGAGCAGAGCGCATGTCCCACACCACACCCATACCCTCACAGCAAGCCATCCCACTCACATGTGGCAGCGCGCATGTCCCACAGCAGGATGGTGGGGTGCGCGCCCCCCACTGCCACCAGCGACGCCATCCCACCTCCCCCTGCCGCCACTGCCAGCAGCGGATGCGCGCTCGTCTGAAGTGAGAAGGGGGAAACGGGGGGGGGTGCATGGATCACACCAGAGCCCATAGGAAGGACAGCGATTGCACATGCCATGGTCATGTATGCGTGCGTATGGAAACTGAGGCAGAAACAGCAACCACGTCCCACGAGCGACGAGTGAGCGTGGTTGCCCTACAGCCACATTATTAAAAGAGGCTATGGCGCATGGCATGGCACTGCACATACGCACCATGCATGGCATGGCATGGAATGGCATGGCATGGCATGGCTGCTACCCACCCGCACGGTGACAGAAGAAGCAGCCTCCACGACCCACGACATGACAGACGACACGACTGACACAGCCCATGGTGATGCACATACCCGCACAGGTGCTGTCAAAGATAAACAGGTGGGCTGCGGAGGTCTTATGTCCATCAACTTAAACTGTGTCTTAGGACAACGAAGCAAACCCCATGAAATATGAAAAAGCGAGAAAGCCTGGAGAGCTTGTGAGCTAGAACGTCTTAGAGAGCCAGTTTGAACAGAATCGTCAACTTAAAATCAGAACTTGAGTAAACTAGTTTCGGTTCTTGCGAACCTTCATCAGTACAAACAAGCCTGAAGCTAAGCATCTGATCTGAACAAGCTGACTAAAGTACTCTACGCTAAAGCTGAGCTAACCAGGTAGATGGATGCAATGCGAGGCGGAAATGGCGTGAAATCTCGAGGTGAGCCAGAGACTTTGATCCCGTCCTTCGAAACCAAAAAGGGGAACTTCGGGAGGATTGGTAACCAGGATCGAAAAGTAAAAAAAGTGGTAACACCACTTCGTTGCGCGAAAGTGTTAAACTGCGACAGGTTGGAGCCTCGATTGAATCAGTCTTCGACGTAAGCGAGAAGGTAAATTCCACGCTAGCAGAAATCTACAGGAACCAGAAATAGAGAAACCACGTGTAGAAAGAAGATTTTTGAGACGTCTCAAAAATCTTCTTTCTACACATGGCATGGCATGGCATGGCTGCTACCCACCCGCACGGTGACAGAAGAAGCAGCCTCCACGACCCACGACATGACACAGCCCATGGTGATGCACATACCCGCACAGTCACAGCAGCAGCAGCCTCCATATCCCACGAGCCGTGATGCCACGAGCCGTGATGCCACGACGCAGAGAAGAGCACAGAGTGAATGTTGATGCACACACTCTACGTACCCAGCCTACCCCACAAACCACCTACACCTCATAGTGACCACGCACACCACGCACTCGCACAGACACAGCAGAAGCAGCGTCCACGTCCCATGCAGACAGAGAGTGGTCCCACGAGACAGAGGAGAGCACAGTGAGAATGTTGATGCATGCTTACTACCTACCTACCACCCGCACACACCATTTACACCACGCACACACTACTTACCCGGACAGACACAGCAGAAGCAGCGTCCACGTCCCAGGAGCGCAGGGAGTGGTCCCACGACACAGAGGAGAGCATGGGGGAAATGTTGATGCACAATCGCTACCTACCCGCACAGACACAGCAGAAGCAGCTTCGACGTCCCATGCACGCAGCGAGTGGTCCCACGAGACGGAGAAGAGCGAGGAGCCTTGCGCCGGCCATGCCACGCCTGCCACGCAATGTGTGTGCGCTTCCAGAGCGAGGTCCGGGGTGAGCTGGACGGATGAAGAGGGGAGAGAAGGGGAAGGGCGAGGAGGGATTTGGGGAGGGAAGGTGAAGGAGAGAGAGGGAGGAAGAGAACAGTGAGGCGAAGCAGAGTTGCGACGAGGTCAGGTCCGGCCATGCCAGGCCCCCCACGCA